CTTTAGTGCAATAACGAACTGTCAATAACAGGACCAAGAGACTTCAATGTTATTGGCTCCTAAGAATTTGACAGAAAGATTTTAAAAAGGTCATTTCCCCTTCTTTTTTAAACTGTGTAATAATTTCATCTTGTTTCCACTGCCTTCAGAGCTGTGCAATATTGTATTAACTTTTTTTCTGATAAACCAATTACTTTTTAACTTGTGACGTTTCTATCTGATTACATCAGTTTTTATCAGACATCGTTTAGCGAGTCGTTGTTGCTGTCGTAGATTGGTGAATATTGACTATAGTGACAAAAACGGTTGTGATCAGAGCTAAAAGTCCAAATTGCTGTATGTGAAAAATAATTGGTTTTCATAAAAAAAAATATCAATATTACATGCTTATTACTGCTTTTGGTAAAATTTGACTTTATTTAGTCCCAACATTTATATTTTATGTATTTTATTATTAATTGCCTATTGTTGAGTATAGGCCTACAGTAAAATGTCTTATTCCCAGATTGAATTGTCCACATAAAATGTTATTTAATGTAGTACTGTAAATGAATGTAGTACTATAAATTTGGATTATGTTTAATGTTATTATGAATAATTGCTTTGTTTTATATTCATATAAATACTGAGTGTACTTTAATCAATCTACTATCACTACGTTAATTATTTTGTTATTCATTACCTGGCCTCGTGGTAGGAACGTTAAAGAGCCCGCCCCCAGCCTTACTGTATATCTGATGTGCGGTGTCAGTGATAGGGGGCGGTGTAAGTCTTCCAAATCTCATGCCAGTAATATTGTCATTGCTTCATTGTATTGTAAATGCATTGACTCTACCAAATCACCTCTAAAATGTTGTTTCCCTTTTGTAACGCGATCACCCTCTTTAAACGTTATTCTACCCCCCACCCCCACCTTTATAATTTCTCCTAATAATTCTACTCCACATTTGAGTTCCGTCCTTATTACCAATACACTATTATATATAGCCACTGATAGACCTACTTAATATTGTATGCTTGCAAATTCTCTTTTATATATTACTACATGATGATGGGAATACAGTATTATAGTAATTTTAAATATCATCGTTTCGGATGCTTACAATATGAGGGTGTTTTTCTTTGTTGTACAAGAATGCTTCGAGAATATGATGCAAAAGGAGTGTAAAATTGTAAATATTACGTTTTAATGGCTGTGCATGTTAGTATTTAAGTGCGCCCTCACCAACCATTGAGAATAAGGGCGTTCTGTGTGCTTTAGCAACTACCCTTGCAAATGGAACTTTCCGCTAAGCCCCGCCCCTTGGATATTGTTGCTAAGGTCCCACAATTCGACAATGTAAAAACATACGCAAACACGTGCGTTTGTGTGTTACAACCATGGTTACAACACGTTTGTTTGTAGAAACGCGCGTATTCCTGGCACTGTTCTGATTGGTCAGTTGTTAATTTTGATTGACACTCCAGAGAGGTCCTTAAGGAAGCAAGTCGGTATTTGCGTGGGTCTCGATCATAGTGTGTTTGAAACGGATTTTGATTTACTAGGTGTGTTAATTTTAATTTCGATCCCCATCATCTTTTGAGTATTTAAATAGAGGCATCAAATAAATTCACAAAAAGGCTGATTTTTCTGTTTAGTTAAATAAAATTGTAGTTCAGCTTGTTGAAATTCTGGCATTATGCACACCTTTTTCCCTCATTCAGAATGGTTTGTCAACATGTTGCCTTACTTTCATGCGCAACTTGTTAATAAGTAGGCCTAGTAACACTGGTGAGTTCAAATATTTATTTTCAGATTAAATATAAATATGTTCCATTGTCACTTGCTGATTAGTTTGATTCACCGAATTTATTTCATGAATTTAATTAAAATTAACGTATTTTAATGCACAAATTACCGAGTGAAAAGTATGTTAATACTTGATGATACTTATTTAGTTCGATTTATTGTTTTTATAAGAAATACTTCTGATATCATAAAAATGATTTAATATTATTAGAAGTGGAAATAAATTTGTTTCATAAAGAAACTGCGGTTATTAAAATTGTTATTGACTCGTATTATTGCTTGTACAGTACGGTTATGTGCATGTTTCATGACAACAGTTTTATCGTCCCAATGCTGCATTCTAAGTTAGATCTTGTAAATTATATCCAATGAAAAACAACCTTGTAGGACAAGAAAGTTATACTAAATAATGTTAATTGCTAGTTTCACGTCCCGGTCTCAACGAATTACTAGCCTCAAGAAAAAAAACCCAAAAAACTACTGTATATGCTAATATATATATAAAAAAAATATGAAAGATTGCTGTCAAAGCCTAAGAGGCGGTTGAAACATAAATAGCAGAATACTTCAAAGGTTCATTTTACTTCTAAAAATATATATTTAACAAAATATTATTTACCAGGCTGTTTACCACTAGTATATGATATTAAATAGAAATACCCTCAGCAAAATAGTTTGAAATCCCGGAATAGCGATACTGTATATTATTTGGCTTTATCAACAATATAAAATGACCTTCAAATATAACATAGACCTCCATATTCTAGTGGTACGGTATGTAACCTGTTAGTTTTCGGCCCTGTTATAAGAGACAACTATATAACTATAGGCTTAGTTGTTGTCTCAGTTTTTAATAAAAAGACCTTTACGTCAGTTAAATTTGGTACTAGTATTAAATGTCAACATGAAAATGTATGCAATTCCGCACAATAAAACTGCGAGTACAGCTTTATTATCTACACTATTAACCTTTGAATTTAATAACTTTCATCGGTATGTAATAAAGTTTATTATTCAAGTTAATTAAGTTATATAATATTATGATGCTTAATATAGTCACATTTACATTTCTTTTATATACCGTAAAACCTTGGATTGGATTAGATTGGACTTACTCGGTGTAAACACCAAGGATAACCCACGAAAGTCTAGAAGAAGACTTATTTCCAGTGAGACAATGCCCTACTCTTTTCCTCCGAAGAGTGTACTGCGTTCTTTAAATGCACACGGAACCAACGGCTTAAACGTCTCAAACCAGCTTAAGAGATAATCAAGTCCTAATTATTATGTCAAAGAGGCCGCATTCTGTGCACTGGCCAGACCGCCTATTCTGCTGATCGTTTTGTTTATCTGTTGTTTATCATTTGACTTTAATTGTTGAATCTGATGTTAAAGCAGGCGCTCCCGTAATAACCGCCTATGTTATTATTTCTTGTCTCCATTATACTATATGTCCATCAGGATATAAGTGCACCCATCACTTCAATGC